CCAGGAAACCTATGAGACAGAACCTGCTAGGCTCCTTCCCCATCCCTCACAGCCCTCTCCCACCCCCACATCCACACACACTCACCTCACCCCTGAGGCAGAAATTCATTGGGAATGAAACCCAAACACAGTTTCCGGGAGCTCAGACAGGCCCTTTGCTACCAGACATCAGATGGGAGCCAGAGACCTGGGCTGCCCGGCAGGAACCAGAAGGAAGGCCATGCTGGTCTAGCTTTCTGTACATCACTAGGAAAGGTCCTTCTCCTCTCTGGGCCTCTGTTTCCATATCTGTATTATAGGCAAGTCAGAGATCTCCGAGGTCCTATGACATTCGAAGTCACAGCATCCGCCGTAACCTGCAGCTTGGAGAGGCAGAGCTGGAGCTCAGTATCCTTAAACCTAGGCTGGGCTCTCGGACCAGCAGTGTGGGCAGAGGGGAGCTGTCACATGCTGTCAGACCGTTCCACCCAGTGAGACAGTGATGAGAGACTAAGAGTTCAGAGTTCTGGGAGGTCTTGAACTCCAGCCCCCAGATTTCAGTACATGCCTCCCAACCTGTCTCCCCAAGCATAAACCAGGTGCAAGTAACCCCAACAGGGAGGAGAAAGCCAGTCAGACCATGTAGATTCAAATTCAAATTCTGCCCTTTACCAGCTGTGTGGCGTTGGGCAAGTACTTTATCTGACCAATGTCTCAGTGTTGTCATCTGTAAAATGAAGGTCCTAAAATCTCCCTCAAGGAGCCCTGGTGGCACAATGATTAAGTGCTCAGCTGCTGCTAACTAAAAGGTTGGGGGTTTAAACCTACCAGTTGCTCTTTGGGAGAAAGGACATGGCAATTTGTTTCTGTGAAAATGACAGCCTATGGGGCAGATCTACTCTGTCCTCCTGGGCTGTTATGAGTCAACTCAAACGTCCCCTCACTGGCCTTCGTGAGGATTACATGAGTTTATGTGTGTGAGATGTTGAGATGCCTGGCAAGGTCAATCAGTCAGTAAATGGAAGTTCCCTTTCCTCTCTTGCTTACGTCATAATCTGACGTGCTCACGCTCCACTGCCCAGCTCAGCTGTTATTGGTGGTGGTGTGCGGTGGAGTCCGTCTGACTCATAGCAGTCCTGCATAGGGTTCCCGAGGCTGTACATCTTTACGGGAGCAGAAAGTTTCATCTTTCTCTCACGGAACCGCTGGTAGTTTCAAACTGCTGACCATGAGATTTAGTAGCCCGACTCGTAACCATTACGCTACCAGAGCACCTTTTTACCTGGCCCACACTTTCCAGCCTCAGGCCTTTACTCCTGCTGTTTGTCAGCCAGGAAAGACTTTTCTCCCTGTTTGACTCCCAGCATTCCAAATCCTCCCTTTATTGCTCAGCTCAGATGCTGCCTCCTTCAGGAAAGGTCTCCTCCAAGGATCTCTGTGCCAGCAGATAAGAGCACATACACAGAGACTCTGTCGGGGATAGCTCTGCCCACAACAGCCTCCCCACCTCCTACCTAGGTCAGGCTGTTGTTGTGAAGTGCCGTCGAGTCGATTCCGACCCATAGCGACCTTGTATAGGGTTTCCAAGGAGCAGCTGGTGAGCTTGAACCACCGACCTTGTAATTCAAACGATTTTGCAGTCTGAGGCATTCGCCCACAGCGGTCAGGCTAGGATGGCTTTTTCCCCCACCCCGCAGTACATAAATGTAACCACTAGGTGGTGATAGAATGACAGCGTCCAAGCAGTGATGAGCAATAAGGCAAACCAACCAGGCATTTCTGCATCATTCATGTGTTTATTCAACAGATATTTACTGAGAACTTGCCATGTGCAAGATGGTCAGAGAATAGCATAAACAAAGCAACAAGGGCCCTGCTCTCAAGGAACTTATGTTCTGGAAAAAAAGAAAAGCAAGGGTAAGAGTTGAAAGCTATGTAAAAAATGCCAGGACCCCCTCCCCCCCAACACACACACACACACACACACACACACACACACAGACCTCTGAGTAAACATCTCTTCAGTGAAGGGCAGACCCAGTAGTCATCTATGAAGCTCAGAGACTGGCCATATGGAAAACCATCTAGCCTCTTGTTAGTCATTGTTGGTCCCTGGATCAGCAGCATTGCATCATCTGGGAGCTTATTAGAAATGCTGATGCTCAGGCCTCAGCTTGAGCCGAATGAATCAATATCTGCATTTCAACAATATGGCCAGGTGGTTCATGTGCCCTGGCAAGTAGAAAGCCCTGCTGAGTTCAAGTCAAATCTGGTCACAGCCTATTTTGTCTAACCTCTAAGCTAAGAATGGGTCCTGAACCACCCCCCACACCCAAATAATCTGAAGAAGAAGAATATTTGTGCACATGAAAATTATATGAAATTCAAACTTCAGCATCCACAAATAAAGTTTTATTATATAACACAGCTGTTCCTATTATACCTATTGTCTGCAGCTACTTTTGCACAAAATCGACAGAGTTGAGGACTTGCAACAAGAGACCATATGGCCCCTAAAGCCCCAAATGTTTACTACCTAGTCTTCTCCTGGATCCCTCCTCGTGAGCCTCCCTCACGCATCTGACACTCAACACCTGCGAAACTGGATTCTTTCTCCGCCCCAGCACCTGCAGCCTTCTCCTGGGGTCCCCATCCAAGTGACAGCCACCTCCAGGAGTCCCCTAAGTCAGACACCTGGAAGTGACACATTCCCATCAGGCTTGCAAGATGGGTATGAGCAAGGGTCTGGAGCCAGAGAGTCAAGGCTTGAATCCAAGCTCCGCCTCTTACAAGCTGCACAACTTTAAACGAAATAGATCCTGACTTCACTGTTCTTGGCTTCAACTTCCTCATCTGTAAACCAGGGACAGTAATAGAATGCATCTTTCAGGGTACTGAGAGGTTTAAATTAGTGAGTGAGTAGTCATGTGCAGTTCAGACAGAGTCTGAACTGAGTTGTCAGTTGCCGCACAACAGTAAGGAAAGTTTCCAGATCCTGTGTTATCCTCACAATCACCCCCATATTCAAGTTCATTGTGTTGCTACTGTGACAGTCCATCTCATAAAGGGCCTCCCTCGTCCTCACTGGCCCTCTATTTCACCTCGCTAGTCCTCCTTTTGGTCTTTCCCAATGAGGTGTCCAAAGCCAGTGAGTTGGACAAGTGGGACTTGCCAAGAGTTTCATATCAGCTATTTATTATGATTATTTTTACCCAATGAAGCCCAGGGCAGGCCTCCCCTTCTTTGTTCTCTTCCTTCCTCTTCCTACACTTAACATAATCCCTCCTCCAGGACCCCCAGCAATATGGATCCCGGCTCTGGCTCCCTGCCCACCACCCAGCAGCAATTACTGAGCACAAGCTGTGTGCTTTGTATTTGGGGAGGGACCCATCAACGTGTCATGTCCCCCCCCTGACCTCCGGGGACATGCTTGCGCAGCACCCTTGACTGTCCTGTGTGGGAGGAGCTGGGCTCTAGTGTCACAACAGAGGACTAAGTGACTGGACCATTCCATCCCCCAGACAGCCTGGCCTGGGACAAAAAACATAGCACTTGGTCAATGTTTGCTATATTTCAGAAGTTCTTGAGGTGGCCTAGCAGTGTGGAAAGCAGTCCATGTGAAAGGTATTTATTAATGTTACTCAAGAGAGGGAGGCAGCAGGGTGGAGTCCTGGCCCAGGATTCAGGCAGCTCGGGGCCAGCTCCAGCTTCTCTAGTAACCTGCCAGGCGAACCCAAGCTGGTGATATTACCTCTATGCATGTTTCAGCTTCCTTATCTGCACCCCCAAGATTCAGCTAAAACGGGGCAGAAGAGACTACCAGGTTGGTCTGGGAGCAAGTAACTGAATAGGTCTGGAGCAGAGATGAAGCCAGCAGGAGCAAGCTACAGCCTAGCGCTTTCCACTTCCTAACTCTGGCTTCAATATCTGCCCCCGTGCATGACCAACTGCTGGCCTTGCAGCACTGGGTGTGTTGACATTTGTCAAGTACCCAAATGCGGGGAACTGTTGTAAGCATCATACAGATGGTGATTCATTTCATCCTTTTATCATTCCCACAAGACAGGTACTATTATTATCCCCACTTGACAGAGGAGAAAACTGAGGTACATTGAAATTTAATAACTTGTTCATGGCAGAGGGGATTTAAACTGAGCTCTCGTATTGTAGTGGTTACGAATCGGGCTGCGAACCTCAAGGTCAGCAGTTTGAAACTACCAGCTGCTCCACCAGAGAATGATGACGCTTTCTGCTCCCGTAAAGATTTACAGCCTCGGAAACCCTGTACAGGGTCGCTATGAGTCGGAACCGACTCCACGGCACATAACCACCACCTAGACTCCAGAACCTGAGCATTGAACTCTTCTCACAGCTTTCTCACAGTAACACAGCTTTTGCTTCGCAGACTGAGCCCCAGGGACAGGTCACTTTCCACCCACAACAGTGGAGTGCTTGACAAACAACAAACATGGCTCAGGGCACATGCAAGCATTGTCTAAGTCTGAACATGACAACAGCTCTCAAAGGAAAGAGTTCTTCCCTCCATTTTGTGGCTGAATACTGCGCTAGCCCGTAGCCTGTAAGCGCAGAGCCAAGACTCAGACTCTGTCCATCTGACTGTAAACCCAGCCTCCAAACGGCTTGGTCCAGTACATTGGCCTTGGCCCTATGCTCCACCTTCCTCCCAGCCAGTCAGCAGGTTTCCAGCAACGCATTCAACTACTCATATCTCTGGCTTCGTGTAGGAATTGCACAAAGTACGTTAGAGGTCATTCTCAGATTCAGGAATGACCCGCCTGGCTCTCGAGTGTCACATCTACAACTCCTCACACCCTGACTTGAAGCCTCAGTGCTGCGTTCACACACGTGTGCACACAGCGTAGCCAGCTCCAGCCGAAATCCCGCCCCGCACGAGGCCCCGCCCCCACCAACTCCAGTCCCTTCCCGCCGAGGTCCCGCCCCACTTCCCGTCCTGCTTCAGTCCGGCCTCGTCTAGTCTGGTGTCTTGCGGGCTTCCAGTTGGATGAGGCCAGCGCGACTCATGAAGGTGTTCGTCACCCGCAGGATCCCCCCGGAGGGCAGGGCCGCACTCGCAAAAGCGGCAGAGTAAGAAGGGCCAGCGCCCCGCCCCTTTCCGCGCGTGGAGTTCCCGCGGGTCGCAACGGGTTGGGTGGAATCGGGCTGCGGAGTCCAGAACACCCTGGCGGATGCTGCCCCCCCAGATCCCGGGCCCCCTTGCACGCAGGGTGACTCCGCAATCTCCAGGTGCTCCTCTGGATGCGCGTAGAGCTGTGCTCCAGTATACTGGGGGCGACCTCAGAGCCCCAGCTATTTGGGGAGGGGATGTAGGGCTGTCCCAGTGCCCAGAGAGAGCCTTGGCTGGACTTTACAACTTGTGCAGCTTGTGATGGGCTTGGAACTCCAGGAAGAGTTTTGTGCAGGCCCCATCTCTCTGTAGGCCTAGTGCAGTAATGCTGGAAGGGGGTTGTGGGGGCACTGGATCCCTCTCGGTCACTGCCCTGGGGACCAGGAAGACCGCACATGACACAAGGGTCAAACTGTTAATCATTTACCTCCGAGGTCGCCTGACGACAGCAAGCAGGTGTCAGAGACTGTGAGTCACTCACTGGCCTAACTCCTTTGGACAGTTGGCCTTGGGAGGACTTTTGAAAATTGACCCTATCTGTGTGCCAGCCTTACCAGAAGGTCCATATACATAAAATCGCTTGATCCCTGTAACATTGTAAACTCATTGTTGTGATGCCCATATCACAGATGAGAAAACAGACTGGGAAGGATTAAGTACTTCCCCAAAGTCACACAACTCCTGGGGTTTGAGCTCGGCTCTGACTGCAGTCTGACCACTTTGTTATAGCAGATTTTCACCTGCCAGACTTGCTGAAGACCAGCTGAAACTACGGAGGTGAAGGGGAAGGGAAGGCCAAGCCCATTAGCTCACTGTGCTCCATTCCACATGGTGGGTAGAAAGTGGCCTGTGCAAAAGCTGCATCAAGCTGTGGGTGTGTCCAGCAGCTGCCCTGTGCTGCACACACATTGGGATTTAATACACATTGGCTGGACTGAATTAAGTGGCAAGGTCTGAGAGGCGGGGTGGAATGGAAATGTGCCATATTTTTACACAAAAAAACGTGCACACTATATCATTTTTACAAACTGTGCGGCCCCCTCACACTTAATTTACTGTGCGCAAATGTGTGTGCACTGTGGAAAATGTGGGATTCAGTTCCCAAGAGCTGCTGAGGAAACGGCTCTAACATTCCATATTGAATTGTCTTGATATTGTCTAAGTCTGAGAGTTTCCGGTTTCATGCACTCACAGGACAGGATTGAGGTCAGGGCCTCTGTATAAAGCTGCCTAGGGTGGCCATAACGAAATTCCACAGATGGGTAGCTTAATAAGAACAGGAATTTATTGTCTCACACATCAGGAGGCTATTGTTGTTAAGTGCCATTGAGTCAGTTCTGACTCATAGTGACCCTGTACAGGATTTTCGAGGAGCAACTGGTGAGCTTGAACCACTGACCTTGCAGTTCAAACCGACTTTACAGTCCAGTGCATTGACCCTCAGCACCACACTAGGATCCAGGAGGCTGGGCGTCCAAATTCAGGGTGCTGACAGGGTTGTGTTCCTTCTTCAACATCTAGTGAAAGAGCCTCTTGTCTCTTCTGGCTTCTAGTTGCTCCAGGCGTCCTTGGCTTGCTCCTGCAGTATAGCTCCATGTTCACATGGCAATCTTCTCTCTGTCTAGAACTCTTCTTTCATAAGGATACTGTGCAATTTGTTGCTGTTAAGTGCTGTTGAGTCTATTCTGACCCATAGCGACCCTGTATAGGGTTTCTAAGGAGCAGCTGGTAACCTTGAACCACCGACTTTGCAGTCTGACGCATTAGCCCACAGCGCCACACTAGGACTCCAGACTGTTCAGATTAGAACCTACTATACTTCAGTATAAGGAGCTCTGGTATTGTAGTGGTTACAAATCAGGCTGCTAATCTCACGGTCAGCAGTTCAAAACTACCAGCTGTTCCGTGGGAGAAATATGAGGCTTTCTGCTCCCATAAAGATTTACAGCCTCAGAAACCCTGTACAGGGTCACCATGAGGAGGAACTGACTCCACGGCACATAACAACAACAACAACATACTTCAATATGACATCGTGTTAACTTCAAAGACCCCATTTCCAAACAAGGTCATGTTCTTAGGTGCTCAGGATTTTAGCCTATCTTTTTGGGGGGACACAATTCAATCCATTATAAAACCCAAATCCCATCTGATACAGGGGCCTTCTCCACTCCATGGATGGCCTTCCCAACAATTGACCGTCTGCTTGGATGCTGCTAGAAAGCTCTTCATCGTGTTGAGCTAAGAACTGCCCTTTTCTATTGAGACTCTGTCCTTGGAGCCCCCTCAGACTGTATCATCTCCCTCTGCCATGTGACAACAGCCTGTTACTAGCCCTCTTAGGACAGTTCTGAGGCCCTCATTTGTGCTTGACCTCCAACCTCCCCTCAGCCAATCCCAGAGCAAGCAGAAGAGGTTCCCAGCTCTGAGAGGAGTCAGGGGGTGTGGCTGTGGGGAATATGGGGTTTCTGAGAAATCTGTGGGGTCCCTTGCTTCTCCTGAGTGGCCTCCTATGCTTTCAGCTGTGAGGTGGAGCAGTGGGATTCCGATGAGCCCATCCCCAGAAAGGAGCTTGAGCGAGGTGTGGCTGGAGCCCATGGCCTGCTTTGCCTTCTCTCTGACCGTGTGGACAAGAGACTCCTGGATGTGGCAGGTATATTCACTGGGCAGGTCCAGGGTGGGATCAGAGGGTATCTGGACCTGTGGGCCACATCAGCCTGCCCCTGCTGACTCCCCAAGCGGCCTGCAGGAACCTCTCTGAGTTCTGAGGGTACTTGATGAGACCCTCAGAAAAAGCGGAAGTTGTTTGCAGCCCCACCTGGTATATCATTGCCCCTTTCCCTCAGGTCCCTGGAGAAAGACCTTGTGAAGGCAAAGACCGTGGTGTGGAGGCAGCGGGTGTGGGGATAGCATCTAAGGCCCTTGGGTCATCAGACCTCAGTCAGCCCTGTCATGGTCTTGCTTTGTGATCTAGAACAACGAGGGAAGCCCCAGCTCAGTAGCAGCACCAGCAGGCATGGTGTGGTTCTACATTCCCAGCCATAGCTGGGACTCTGGCAGGGTCATGTCACCCCTTGAGGTGTGTCATTGTGACAGTTTGAGGAGAGGCTCAGAACAGAAAGCTGCTGAATGGAGAACGTCCTTGTAAGTCAGGACTGAGCCAAGCCAGGCACTCCAACACTGACCTGGGAGTTTCCTGGCTGCCCGCCCAGAAGAAGGTGTTGCAGGATAGGTCCCACCTGCTTTCTCTGAGATGTCCTGTGACAACCCCAGGCTGTGCTCCCAGGACACCCGAGGCCTCGCTGGGCAGACTTGGTGTCAGAGTCTCAGGGGCCACAGGGAAAATGTGACAAGTGACCTATTCTGAGTTTTTAAAAAAAGCGATAAACAAGACTTGACTCTTATTCTAAGAAAACAATAAGCAGGTATTCCCACACTAGGGGAGGTCTTTGAATCCACAGAGAATGATACCAAGGGGGCTTTTTGTGTACGACAGGAGCTAATCTCAAAGTCATCAGCACGCTGTCCGTGGGCACTGACCACTTGGCTTTGGATGAAATCAAGAAGCGGTAAATGCAACTTGGTCTTTGGAAGGGGCCTGCGGGGAGAGGGGAAAGGAGCGGAGTATTTGTTTATTTTCACTTCATGCCCCTTGACCACTCAGTGAGAATGTGATGCGAATGATGTTAAAATGTGCCCACAGGGGCACAGGTCAGTTCAAACTAACTCAGAGAGTCAGAATGAGTGCAGAACATCTTGTTCAGTCTGTCACCCTTCACATTCAGTATCTTTTCTAAACCCCACAGCCCCTTAGTAGAAAAGGCAAGTATTCGTGTTCCGACTCATAGGGTACAATAGAACTGCCCCACAGGGTTTCCAAGGCTGTAATCTTTACAGAGGCAGCCTGCCACAGCTTTCTCCTGAGAAGTGTCAGGTGGGTTCAGTGGCTGAGCACTTTAATCACTATGCCACTAGGACTCCTTTGTTTCCTTATACAGTTGAAGAAATTCAGAAAGGTTACTTGCCCTTGAACCCTGATCTTCCATTTTCATATCCTTCCTAACTGGGAGATCATCCAGATAAGGGAGTAAGGGGTGGACATTCCTGGGTGTCCATTTACTGCTCTGAGCTTCCCGACAGGCACAGTAAAGAGGGAACAAAGTATCATTATGGAAAGGTGCCAGCCATAGAAACTGGTGGAAGTGCTTGAGGTTGATGTTACCTAATGTTCGCTTTGTAGTGGGATCCGCGTGGGCTATACCCCTGATGTCCTGACGGATGCCACCGCCGAACTCGCAGTGTCCCTGCTGCTTACCACTTGCCGCAGGTTGCCGGAGGCCAGTGAAGAAGTGAAGAAGTGAGTGAGCTCCTGGTGGGGAGGTGGGCTCTGCTCAATAGAGCATTCTGTTTTTCCCTTGGAACTTTTTATTGTGTATTGCATGCAGATTTACAGAGTAGATGTTTCCTATTCAACAATTAACACGTATTTTGTTTCATGTCATTGACTGCAATCTCCACAATGGAACATTTACCCACTTCCTTCCTGTGTTTCCTGTTTCCTCCTCCTTTCCTGACCCTTCTGAACTTTGCCCTTAAGTAAGTGCTGCCCTTGGATCTCAAATGGTTGATTATTTGAAGGAGTGCATGCCTCCCTAGTGTTATTGCTCCCTCTTATTAAGTGCCTCAAGTTGGTTTCGACCCATGGTGGTGGTGGTTATGTGCCGTGGAGTCGATTCCAACTCATAGTGACCCTGCACAGGGTTTCCGAAGCTGTAAATCTTTATAGGAGCAGAAAACCTCATCTTTCTCCCTCGGAACCGCTGGTAGTTTCGAACTGCTAACCGTGAGATTAGCAGCCCGACTCGTAACCACTACGCTACCAGAGCTCCTTGGTTTTCACCTATAGCTACCCTGTGTAGGGTTTTCAAGGAGCAGATGGTGAGCTGGAACTGCTGACCTCGTGGTTCAAACCAGCTTTGCAGTCCTGTGCATTCTCCCACATGCCACACCAGTACTGTTCCTCCTATAGACTTGTCTATTATTAATTTGACTGAAAATTGAGCCACGGGATGAGTTCAGTTCCAGACCTGAAGGGTGACCAAGGACCAGAGTCTCAGGGATTCCGCCGGTCTCTGTCCTGTCAGTAAGCCTGGTCTTTTTTATGACTCTGAGGTTTGTTCCACATTTTCCTCCCATTCTGTCTGGAACCTTCTAATGATCCTTTTGAGAGTCCTTGGTAGTGTTAGTTGGGCACCATGTGGTCTCAGGGTCATGGAGACGGATATTTACATGGTCTGTTAGTCCATTGCACTCATTCTTCGCACATGTCTTCAGTTTTCATCAGTCTTATCTCCTCAGGACAGACCTTAGATGACTGCTCACAGGCTTTTCAGACCCCAGTGCTCAGTAGTCTCTGAGTATATGTGTGGTGGTGCGAGAGGGAGAGACTCAGCCAGAATGCTAACATCCAGGCAGAAGGACATAAGGCATGGGAGGAGGTGAGGGAGGGAGGGATAAATGCTGCATCTCTGGGAGGAGGAGTGAGTCAAGGAAGGCTTCATGGAAGAAGTAGTAGTTATGCATCCTGTTGAGTGAGGAGAGGCCCAGGCCTACCAACCCTCAGCCATTAGACTGAAATCCCAAACTCTGGAAGTTGTCTCATAAATTTTCAGGTAGCAAAACCTGACTGGGGGGGGGGGGAACCTAACTGAAACTACCTGAAGCTGTTTATGATCCTCATTTATTCCATTTTGTGTAAACAGCTGTAGATGTTGCTGCAGAAATAATGATGTGCTTGATTCAGACTCTGCCGAGGGTATTATGTAGAATATAGCATATGTGCCTTGCTAACTTGAAAAATGCTGACGTTTGGCTGAAAGGTTTCAGATAGGGGATTTAAGTGTGTATACAAATCTGCTGCACAGGAACTTTTTAAAGTGTTGAAGAGCAGAGATGTCAGCTTGAGGACTAAGGTGCACCTGACCCAGGCCATGGTATTTTCAGTAATCTCATATGGATGCGAAAGCTGGACATAGAATAAGGAAGATCGTAGAAGAATTGATGCCTTTGAGTTGTGGTGTTGAAGGAGAATACTGAAAGTGCCATGGACTGCCAAAAGAACCAATAGATCTGTTTTGGAAGAAGTGCAGCTAGAATGCTCCTTGGAGGCCAGGATGGCTAAGCTTCGTCTCTCATACTTTGGACATATTGTCCAGAGGGAACAGTTGCTGGAGAAGGATGTTATGCTGGGTAAGGTGGCGGGTCAGAGAAAAAGAGGAGGAAGACCCCCAACAAGATGGATCAACCAGGTGGTAGCATTGATGGCGTCAAGTGTGGCAGCGGTAGTGAGGTTGGCCCACGATCTGACATTGTTTTGTTCTGCTGTGCATGGGGTCGCTATGAGTCGATTTGGACTCGATGGCACATGACAACAACAACAACTAAGAGTTGGAGGAGGCATTCCAGGAGCAAGGAACAGCTTGAGCAAAGGCTGGGGGGCATATAAATACGAGGGGCAGGGACTCCAGGGAGGAGACGTGCAGGCGCAGCATAGGGCTGATTAGAGACAGTGCTGATCTTCCTGTCATCCTGTCCCCTTGATTGAAGGTGATTCTAAACAGGCTGTATTCTGTCCCCCAGAGTCTGGACCTTGTGGTTTACTCTGTCTGACATCACTTCTGAAATCTTCAAATCCCAACTTTGCAACTTATTGTGACCCACTCTGCCCTGGTTGTCTGGCCTTGGTCTCAACTTGCCCATCTGCAAAATGGGCTGGGAGCATCCAAGGCCCCTTTCAGCCCTCACATTCTGGCATTAAAGAAGGGGTCGTTTACGTGCTCCTTCCCCTTTCGCAGTTCCCCAGGGGCGCTGGGTCTGTGAGTTTCACTAGGCTCTTTGTCACTCACCTCCTCACTTCCTGCAGTGGTGGCTGGACCTCATGGAAGCCCCTGTGGATGTGTGGCTACGGCCTCACCCAGAGCACCGTGGGCATCATTGGGCTGGGCCGCATAGGTGAGTCACACCCACTGGCTCTCCTGGCTTGATTAGCTCACACCCTTGGCACCATGTGCCCAGATGTTGAAATCCTCTTTGTCAGAGTTTCCTTAGTTGCATGTTGTCAGGGCACATTGCACATAGTAGGCAAATCTCTGATGCAACGGCATAGCTTTAAGTGATCAAAGGAAATGGTGAAAGCTAGGATTCAGAATGATTGTCGTTACTAAGTGATGTCGAGTTGAGTTCCAATTCATAGTGACCCTGTACAGGGTTTCTGGTGGGTTTGAACCATTGACCTTGTGGCTAACATCCATTCAGCACCATACCAGGACTCCTGTGATTACAACTACATGAAAACAAATGGAAGCTACAAACACCAGGGCCCTTAGGAGTGATTTGCTGTCCCGGACCTGGATTCTAGAAGGCGTTTGATCCATGGACCTCAGTTCCAGGACAAACAGCTACATGGGCAGTGTGCTGTGGTTCTACAGAAAAGGCCGAGCTGCTTTGCTTCCAGTGGCTGTCATCTATCTCATGGTTACATGGCTGGAATGAGGGGTGGGGAGTAACTTGTTTGGCCAGCCAGCTGTTCTGCTTCTCACACAAGAGAGCTGTTTTGAGAACTAGCAGTTTGGGGGAATGTTCTAAATTAGAAGATGCAACTACTCCAGTCTTGTCCAGAGGAGGCCAGGCTTGGCAGCAGTACTTCAGCAACACTCGCTGAGGATCGGGGCAAGTTGGCAGCACCACTCAGAAGTCAGATGAGGTCCGGGCCTGCGTGAACCAAAGCAGAGGGCCTAGAGGGAAGAGAGGACTACTTTGCCAGGCCTCTTCTGGAATGCCAGGCCCAGTTCTCAAAGAAGCTTAATAAATGCCCTCAAGCTGGCCCAGGACCTTGCAGGGACAGCATCAGTTAGTCACAGCCACAGAGAATCTGGGACGCTGTCTCCTGATATCTGATAGGCCGCCAGGTGGCCTAGCTGAGACAGTGCCCAGCTCCATGCATATAAGATAGAACCAGCTAGCATCAGGCCTGTACTAATCTGACCCCAAGGGGCACCCTGTCCCTGGAGTTGTTTGGTACTGCCCCTACTCTCTGAGAGTGCGGGAGACAAGCCATAGACTATCATTCCCTGTGTCCAGGCCAGGCCATTGCTCGGCGCCTGAAACCATTCGGAGTCCAGAGATTTCTCTACACAGGACGTCAGCCCAGACCACAGGAAGCAGAGGAATTCCAGGCAGAGTTTGGTGAGTAAAGCCTGGGTTTCCTCGGGAGCCCCTCCGTGCTTGGCTACAGGGGTCTCCTGTTTTCTGTAAGGATACTGTTTGTATCAGTGTTGATGCTCAGGTGTGTCCAGGCTGACTGTGTCCCTTGTTGTTGTTGTTACATGCCTTTGAGTCAGTTCTGACCCATAGCGACCCTGTGTAGGATTTTTGAGGAGCAGCTGATGAGCTTGAACCACTAACCTTGTGGTTCAAACTGACTTTGCAGACCAGTGCATTAACCACAGCACCACACCAGGACTCCCTTAGGTGCTATGTAATCTATGTGTCCCTGGGCACAGAGGCCCATGCAGGGAGAGCAGGGACATAGCCCAGGTCACTCAGTGAGCTCTCTCTGTACAGTAGAGATGCTAAGTCTCTGACTTCCAGAGTCCGTGGTCACCCAGGGGAATGGCAATGGATGTAAGGAAGAACTGGAGACATTCACTCAGTTTCCCAATAAAATGGCGAGTGTTAGCCCCAACCTTTGTATGAATTAGAAAAAGTCCTTTTGTCTGGGTGGATACAGTTCCCCAGCCAGGTATACAGCTCGGTGAGCAGAGCAGAGTACAGGCTGAGTTTCAGCTTTTCTTCCCCTCAGTACACATGGTGGAAGCCAGAAAAGCCCAAATCCCACTGTGTGACCTTGAGTGAGTTCCTGTCTCTCTCTAGCCTCAGTTTTCTCATCTGTTAGACCAAGGGGTGGGCAGAATGATCAGATAACAGAAGGATCCCATGAATGGCTGTAGTATTTGTGCAGGTGGAGACGAGACCTTCAGGCAATATCCTGGGAATTTCCATTATGCAGGGAGGAGGAGAGGGTCTGGTCTCCCACCACCTCACTGTCTGACCTGGAAATCAGTGTCTGATGGAGCCCTGCCCTCCCCTAGTGTCTGCCCCCCAGCTGGCTGCCATGTCTGATTTCATCGTGGTGGCCTGTTCCTTAACACCTGCAACCAAGGAGCTCTGCAACAAGGACTTCTTCCAGAAGATGAAGAAAACCGCTGTGTTTGTCAACATTAGCAGGTACTTAGGGTTGTCCTACTGCTGTGACCTGTGCCTTTTCTTCCCTTGTGTTGTCGATGAGTTCTCAGGCTGAGCTTGCTGGTCTGCATAAACGAACCAACCACCCAACTCAAATACAGTAAGGCTACTCAAAAACGACCATGAAACGAACCTAATCTTCACCCACCAAATTACATTTACTAGAATGTTTTGTTCTCTAGTTTTTAAAAAATTATCATTTAGTCTGGTGTTTATGTTTTTACATTTATTATGATTTGAGTTAAAAGTTATGCAGCAAATTGGTTTTTCATTCAACAATTGTTACACATTTTGTTTTGTGACATAGACTGCAGTCTCCACAGTGTAACAAGTCTTCCCACTTCTGCCCTGTTTTTCCAATTTGCACTTAGCTGCCTTTGTTACCCACTCCTGTCTTCTGAACTTCTTCCCTGGGCAAATGCTGGCCTTTTTTTTTTTTAAGTATTATTTTTAAATAATTTATTTTATCATATATTAATGAAAATATACACAGCAGAATATGTACCAATTCAAGTTTCAACATGTACAATTCAGTGACGTTGGTTACATTCTCCGAGTTATTCAACCATTCACAATTGTTTCTTCCCTAAATTGTTTCTCTCCCACTGGCATGCGCTCCCTTCAATATAGTTTTGAATTACTATTTAGTGCCCTTTCTATTTAACCGGAAAGGAGCTTTGGTAGCATAGTGGTTACGAATCAGGCTGCGAACCTCAGGGTCAGCAGTTCGAAACTACCAGCTGTTCCGCGGGTGAAAGATGAGGCTTTCTGCTCCCATAAAGATTTACAGCCTCGGAAACCCTGTCACTATGAGTTGGAACCGACTCCACGGCACATAACAACAACAACAACAACTATTTAACTGGAAGGACTCTCTTTAGCATTTCTTGGAGGGCAGATCTCATGGTAATGTCCTCTGGTTTTATTTTTTTTTTCAACCTGACACTGTCTTAACTCTCATTTATGAAAGAAGGACAGTTTTGCCAAATATGGAATTCTTGATTGACAGTTCTTTCAGAATTTCAACTACATCTTCCCACTGCCCTCCGGCCTGGTGTTCCTGGTTTCTGTGGAGAAATCAGCACTTAATCTTATTGAGGATTCCTTGTATGTGATGATTTGCATTTCTCTTGTTACTTTCAATATTCCTTTATTTTTGGTTCTGAAGAGTTTGATGATGAAGTGTCTTGGTGTCACAGTCCTTGGCTTTATCCTGCTTCGAGTTTGTTGAGCTTCTTGATGTGTGAATACACATCTTTCATGAAATTTAGGACATTTTTGGCCACTAAACCCTCTTCAGAGTCACTATGAGTCGGAACCAATTCAACAGTACTTAACATTTCTTCATTTCTGCCCCTTTTTCTCTCCTCCTTTTGGACCTCCTTTGCAGGTGTTTATTTACTTGATGATGTTGTTGTTAAGTGCCGTCGAGTTGGTTCCAACTCATAGCAACCCTGTTTAGGGATTCTGGGGAGCACCTGGTGGATTTGAACCGCTGACTTTGTGGTTAGCAGTCCACTGCTGATCCTACAGTGCCACACTAGAACTCCATTCACTTGATGGTGTCTCACAAATCCTTATGGACTGTTAACTTTTTTTAATTCACTTTTCTTTTTGTTCCTTAAGCTCAGTGATTGCAATTATCCTATCTTTAGTTGGCAGGTTCTTTCTTCTGCCCACTCAGATCTGCTGTTGAATCCCTCCAGTGAATTTTTCATTTCAGTTCTGTTTTTTCAGTTCCAGTGTTTGTTAGGTTTCTTTTTAATTTCTTTATTCTCATTTTGTTTCTGTGTCTTTTTTCTGATTTCCTATAGTTCGTTGTCTGGGTTTTCCTTTAGCCCTTTGAGAATGTGTGTTGTTTAAAAGTCTTTGTCTTTGTTGTTCAGTTCCGTGGAGTCAGTTCCAACTCTTAGCAACCCTGTATAGGGTTTCCAAGGAGTGGCTGGTAGGGTTTGAACCGCTGACCTTGAGGTTGAAACTAACCTTGCTGTCCAGTGCATTATCCTGCAGTGCTATACCAGGGCTCCAAAGTCTAGTAAATCCATTGTCTGAGCTTGCATGGAGACAGTTTGTCACCTACTTTTTTTTTTTTAAGTTTTTGTGAATTGGATGATAGTTTACATGAGAGAACATCAGCTTTACATTCATACTATAGTATTTCATTTCATTGCAATGATTACAGTCCCCTCCATGCATCATCATTCAACAGGATTTTCTTCCATTTCCTGTTTATTTTTGGATGTATACTGAAGTACTCAGGAATATACGATGACCATTCAAACCACCAAAGGGTTTGAAGCCCTGCAAGCCCCCCCACCCCCCAGCTGTCAGCACACAGCCCCTCTCCCTTCCTGAGTCCAGAGTCCCCAGCTGCTCCATCTCTTCATGTCATCATCTCTGCCTCCATCTCTGGCATCGCTGCTTCTCTGGACGGGGTCCTGCACTCCACTCTTCTCCCTTGATGGTCCCAGGGCCCTCTGCTCCTTAACTGCAAGATCAACCATTCCCCTCCTTTTGTTACAAAACGTCTACCTTCACATTTGCAACACTCACAATCAGTCCTGATAGCAATTATTTACTATTGAACCACAAGAGTCTTATCCCCATCGCCTTTCACCAGCCCCATCCAGATAGGTTTGAAACAACTCAGTGGAGATCTTCCCCCGTACCCTCTGAAAACTAGGTTTCCTCTTGAAAGCTTGTAAGCCAGTCACTTCTTGCATTTGTAGCCCCGCCATTTTGGGTAGCCAATGTCTAAGTTGCCCATCCCTGTCCTGAGGGGGTGGGAATGATCCTCACTGTAAAGATTCGTTCCCTCTTTTGAGCTACTGCATCCATAACTATAGGTCAAGTTCATAAAATTGTAGCGGATTACTCTTCTTTTTCCTTCCCTCTAATCGAGTTCTGATCATCCAGCCATTGAAGCCAGGTCAAATGGGTGTTATCTGCAAGTATGGGTGTTCTTGTGCATCTCCCCTCACTTCCTATCAGCTGGATGCTTCATTCTCCTCTCTAGTTCTCTATGGCCATGTCCCTGTCCCTGCGTCCAGGAGTCCCCAGGTCTCACCATACTGCTGGCCAACCAGGTCTCAATCCAGGTGGGCAGGAGTCTGTTAAACAGGGATGGACTTAGCTCACAACTGCATTGCTGTTTTTCCCCTATTTCCCCTTATGGGTAGATTAATGTGGTTACCAGCAAGACCACATGCCTGCTCCTGTATTCCACTTGAGTTTCAGTCTTGGGTAGGGGTTTGACCTGAGAGGACCCGACCACTTGCCCTGATGGCTCCGCAGCGAACAACTTGCTTGTTCTTGTAGTAATCAGTCAGACTGCTATTATCATTTTGATTTTTCCTACTGGTCTTTCTTGCAAGAAGTATCTCCTGTTCTTCTAGCAGCTCCAGGCTAGTCTGCTTGTCCTTTCAAATCTGTCACCTACTTTTGTTTTATTTGAAACGGCGATCCTGTTTCTTTGTATGCCTTATGAGTTTTTGTTAAAATGGAAACATTTCAATGTTATAATGTGGTAACTCTGGAGATGATACTCTTGCTCTTCCCCAGGATGCGCTATTTTGTTACTGTTTTAAATTGTTGGAAGGCTGTAGTCAACCATTTGTTTAATGACTTCCCCCCAACTATTTCTGCAAAGGCTGCCCCTAAAAGTTAGTCTTTATCAATGAGAAAAAAAATGCATTATGTAGGTTGTTCTGCTTAAAAGTGGCCTGGTGGGAGGGAGCTTTGGGGAACCTGCAGTATAACTCTCATTCCCAGGGGAGATGTGGTGAACCAGGACGATCTGTACCAGGCCTTGGCCAGTGGTCAGATTGCAGCTGCTGGACTAGATGTGACCACCCCAGAGCCACTGCCTACAAACCACCCTCTCCTAACTCTGAAGAACTGTGGTAAGAACTTCACTTTTCAAATAAAAGTCATTTTCTGCTCTCTAGGACCACTGTTTAAGGTGGTATGGAGATGCTGGCCGTGGAGCTATCATAGTAGTATTAACAAAGAGCTGCACCTCGTTGGCACCATAAACCTTCGTGCCCTGATGACACTGGCATGTAACATAGGAGAAGGCCTCCCAAGCATGCTCAACTAAGCCTGTGCTTCTAAAGAATTTGAATGTGGGTGGCATGAGTGGCATTTGTTTACCAAAAAAAAACCCCAAACGGTTGGCTGATTGAGTGTCTATGTGCATAGCTACTCATGGGTAAGATTGGTTAGTATGAATTACAATGATCAGTGTAAGTGTGAGAAATTCCAACAGCACTTACAATGCCAACATTTATAACAAACGTGTGGTATTAAGACATCTTTTCCCTCAGCTCCAAACCCATCCTTTTCGTATTCTGCTGTGTGATGCTGGGCACAGGCACTGCCTGTGGGCCACTAGAAGCAGACTGGAGGGCAGGTCCAAGGAAGCAGAGAAGGCTGAAGAAAGCAGGACTGACTTCCTCCTGCCTTCCTGTCGTGTGTCTGTCTGTCTGTCTGGGAGTGGTACCACAGCAGCACTTCTTTGCCTCGATGTAGCAGTTCCTGCCCGAGTGGTTGCAGTTTCCCCAGTTCAACCAGCCTGAGTGTGCCTCTCAGAGGCACTGGTAACAAGCAGTTAATGCCCCTGCCTCAGAGGCCTGTCGGCTCTAAAGACCTACTGCCACCCAGTCAATTCCCAAGTTCCCACTCCTGGTGATCCTTAGGGTTTCTGAGAGTGGCCATTTTTACAGAGTCGTCTCATCTTTCTTCCACAGAGCAGGTGGCACATTTTAACTGCCAACTTTTCGGTTAGCAGCCCAATGCCTAACCCACAGTGTCACTAGGATTTTAATAATTCAGTTCCCATCCCTAGCACCTCGACTACTAGAACTTGTCCCCAACCTTAGCCCTTTAACGCCCTATCCTGAGAGGATGCTTTCTGCAACTGCCATTAGCACATAGGTATGTTATGTGTGTAGCAGTCACCTGGAGGCTCATACAGCACAGCTACGACCCAGCCCAAGGTGGGACCTGAGACTGCGTAGGACACTGACGCTGCTGATCCTGGGCCCACACCTTGAGAACCAACACCTTAGTTTTCTTTTTTACCTCATCAGTGACCTAATTAACAACTTTATCCCTAGTTCATAATTCTTAAACTTTCTGTGTGGTTTCTGCCTCTAGACTAACACTTCACTGTAAGAGTGCTAAGGACTCTGGCATCCTGGCACAGAAACTCAAAGAGTAGCTGCCTTGCCCAGTGAATGCTGCCATTATCACAGGCCTGGGAAACAATGGTACCCCACCCCCACCCCCTACCCCGCCAGAAAGGCCCATTGCTCCCAACTGAGCAAGCTGTCCCGCTCCCCCAAGGCCTTGGAGTTCAGCTCAGTGCTGCCAGGACTGCTTTCAAAAGGTAGTTATTTGGAAACAAGTGACCTCACTTGCTCTGCAGTGGGCCTGAGGGAGCCGTACTGTCCTGCCTTCATCTGTAGTTATTTCTGTGGATTAGAAATGTCAGGGGCCTGCGCAGCACTGGTAGGAACACAGTGTGGGTGATCGGTGTTAAAGCTCAATCAGCACCTAGTTTCAACCTCTACTAATGGAAAGGGCTGGGACTAGATAGGACCCGGGAGCCCATGTAGCCCTGACCTTCTGGTGTTTATGATACATCTCCCTCATCACACGATGCCTGGCTTTCAGTCATCCCCAGGTAACGCTTAGTGACAAGGATAGAAGGCAAATCAAGGAATGTGTAGTCAGGTTCTGTTCTTCTCATGGGCAAGCCCAAGCCGTGAGAAAGTTGAAGGCTCTGTAACACTTACCCATTCTCCTCTCCTCTCCAGTGATCCTGCCCCACATTGGCAGTGCCACCCACGGGACCCGCAACACCATGTCCCTGTTGGCAGCTAACAACTTGTTGGCTGGCCTGAGAGGGGAACCGATGCCCAGCGAGCTCAAGCTGTAACCTGAGAGGAGACATGGAGGTCCGGAAGCCAAACAGTGCCCTGGCATTCTCAGATGTGACCAGGCTTGATTTGGACCCACAGGACGGGAGCTAGGGGAGAGTCTGACCTGTACTGATCCTGTAAAGGGAACACTGGTGCCAGTGAACGTTTGCCACTTTTGTGGTTGGAGATCATCTGAGCCAAAAGCATACAATTCCATTATTAAATAACTCTGAGGCCTATCTTAACCTGACCACCATATTAACCTGCAACTGGAGAGCTGACCGAGTATGTTCTTACCTTTACCTTTGTTCTCTCAAGGCATCAAACGACTGCCTCCCACTGCAGTCTCATTCCCTAGCATTTTGACTAATCAGAGCCTGTTTAATGCCACCCCCACCCCACCCCTGCATCTTCTACTCAAATCCCTTCCTTTGTTTCACTGAAGACGTGACCACCTCAAACCTGGCACTTGAGTCAGCTATTGAGACCAGCAGACACATTAGTAGGCACACACTGAAGAATTAAATAGGAAAAGGGGAACTCTAAAACAACATGGTATTTTCTGTCAAAAATCATTGGAGGTGAGCAGATCTTAGTTTTATTTTAAAATTTGTTCTAGCTCCAACACATTTTATTCCCTGTCTACCTCTTCTTCCATCCCTACCTCCCTGAATCGGTGTTTTCTAATCATCCCCTCCCTCCCTCCTCCCCAAGGCCAGGCCACCAGCACTGTCCTGGCCACAGACACCAAGTTCCAGTTCTCCCAGACAGCCTAGGTGAAGTTTCCCAACCTGAGAGGCAGGCAGAGAGCAGCAGAAAACAAGGCTAGGCTGGCCTACTACCAAGACCACGTGTGCTGAGAATTAAAACCTCACACGTGCACAGCTCGAAGGCGGGGGTAAGTTGAGGGGAATGAGCAGCGACAGCTGTCCGTTCACAGCGTTAAGAGTATTCTCTTGTCGGCTTGGTTAAGAAAAGCAGCACTGGTCCAAGCGAGGCCAGCAGAGGTAGAAACGCCATTTCCCTTTTGGGTTTCAATCTCAACAGCCTAAGCAAAGAAAAGGAACACATATTTATTTAGTTAGAGGAGTGAATGTGACAAATTTTTTATTTCAAAATCTCAAATTTTGACCAGCATAGCACCACTGACAGGAATGCCCTGATAGAACTTTACGATCTGATCACCAGAAGAGAGTCTACATGATTATATCAGGCTCTAATTAAGGCTGACCAATCAAACTTCAGGTATCCAATACCGGTTATCATTCAGGTGGAAACCATGGATCATAGGAACCCTGGGGCTGGTTTCCCAGTGAACCCCTGAATTGTTTGAAGCGCTCCGGCATGTACCTGGGCACTGGCCTGCAAGTTTGCTTCTCACAGGTAGAAACTAACTAAGAGGTAGATGAGAGATTCCAGATTCCATCTAGCAGTGGAGAGGCAGGGCTCCAGCAGCTCTGAGAGAGACTCGCAAAGCCAAGTCCACTAAAGCTCAAGCTGAGGTGAGGAGCGGGGTCTTACACCTCATGGGATGGAAGGGAAGGAGGGCTGCCCACTGCTCTTCCTGATGTCATGGGTCGTCTTTTGCTCTCCATGCTGACCCCTCTGTCTCCCAAGTGAAGCACCTCACAAAACACTGGTCCCCACCATTTTACACAAAGCCTCCTCACATCACATCAGAACATGACTGCTAACAATTAGCCACACACAGAACTGAGTTTCACAGGCAATCCCATATCCTCCAAAGGCCTTTTGCCTATGTATGCTGAAAACCACAGGAATCCGAGGTTTCCCTTTTGGCTTTCCTCCCTGGAAACCAGTTCTTAGGCGAGGTTAAGCCCACTATGAGCATTATGGGTTTGTCCACAGACATGTGGAAATGCATACGCTGGAGTAAGAGGAGAAAATACACCAATTTTGTTTTAGGCTACACATACACACTTAGCTTTCTAAACTTAAGAACTGAAGGATTTCTCTGAATTAATGCACAACAGTTTGGTGTCTCTAAAAAGGCTGTAGAAAGAAAAATGAAAATGAACGCATATTCATGCATGAGTCACACTATGACTTCATGAGTTCTACTGAGATGCACTTCCCCTAGAAGTGCCTGAGCCAGGCTCAGCCCCAAACAAGCCACCTACAGCCCGAGGGCAGTCTTAGGGAACAGGAAAATGTGGCTGGGAAAGGGAGGCCCTAGGGCCCAGAGAGGAGCTGGGCAATGGGCCAGAGCCACTTCTCAGTCTTGGATGCTACTTGGTGACTTCTATGCCACGGGCTGTCTAGTCCTTTTGTAGAGCTGAGAAAATATGTACTCAGGTGCCCTGCTACATTTAAGTTTCAAATCATTTTTAAAATTCTGTATTGGACTGGGGATGCAACAACTAAAAAAGTTTAGGGTCTATACTTTCAAATCATAGTGCAAGTCAGTAATAAAGCTCAGGGAAGACAAGGTTGGCATTCTTTTTTGGTTAGTTTCTAACTAAAACAAGCTTGGTCTGAGGAAGATGCCATATAGAGCATGGAATTATGAAAAGAATTTGGGGCGGGGGGGCGGGGGAGGGAGTACCTGGCTGAGGTGTGTCAGATGGACTGGCCCCAACATTTGATTGGAGCAAAGGGTAAGTGTGCCAAGAAAGATCCCACAAAACATGACTCCACGTCGTCAGAACAAAGACAAACACTAGCTTTTTTTTTGACTTCCGAACATGGAACTTAACATCTGTAATACAAGTTGGTTAAAATACTGCTAAAACAGCACATATAGAAACCATACCTTACTTGTCACTCCCTACGAGTACATACTCCATTTACAACTTTGTTTTCAAAACCAGGAAAATTGTTAAAACATTGATCCAACAGTGATGTATTCAAAAGTATATACACCTTACAGTCCAAGAATGCTCACCCTAGACACAGTGTCAGCACCAGGAAAGCGCAGTGTCTGAAACTGCAAATCAGACAAGTAAAAAATACAGTCGTTTCTGAGGCCTCGACTAGCTGTGGTACACTTTAAAGCATTGGTGGCAGGCAGGCGTGTCCTCCAGGGCTTTCCTTTAAGACAGGCACCAAGTCGCCGCTGGTTACACTAAGTGCGTTTTGCATCACTACACGGAGAGAATATTCCTAACAGAGGATATAAAAAGCCCATTGCTGTTAACGTCGATTCTGAATTCATAGTGACCCTACTGGATATAGCAGAATTGCTTCATAGGGTTTCCAAAGCTGCATCTTTACAGAAGTAGACTGCCCCATCTTTCTCCCGCATCAGAAGGTATAAGAAATGGAATTCAATGCTTCACAGAGTTTTACAAAAATTGCTAAAAAAAATTTTTTTGCACTTCAATTTTAATTTTTGTATGTGCCACTTTTAAGAACATCGATTACAAACTATTTTATGACTGCATTACTCAACTTGGTTTCAGGGATTGCATCTCTCTGCCAAGTCGTGCACTTCACTTGGAAATGTAGCAACACAAGCACTACATTGATCAGTCTCCGTTTAGTAACTGCCCAAATTTGCAGGAACCATTGCAGCCTGAAGCGCAAACCCTACGGCATTAACCATCTAATGAAGGTTTCCGGCTGATTCCACCACTGGCATCAATCAGCACTGTGTCTAGAGCAGAGTGCTGGGGAGATTGCTGCTCTGCCAGCGGAGGCAGGTCGTCTTAGAATGTTTATAGAGGTGGCTGGACTGGCTGAACCTCTTGCCACACTTTAAGCAGGCGTAGGGTTTTTCACCTGTGTGAACACGAATGTGCTTCTTGCAATCTGTCAAGGTCAGGAAAGTCTTGCAGCAGATTTTGCAAGCATACTTGCGAGCACCTTCTACAACCAAGACATTGTGCTCTGACAAGGCCTTCTTGCATTTGGACAAGACGTCAGCAGAGGCTCTGGTCAACTGGGGAGGGCCAGGCTGGGACGGATGGGCATTTTCAAATGAGGAAGTGGCCCCATTCATCATCAGCTGGGAACCCGCAGTGTTTTCAGGGATCTGTGAGCTCCTGACAGAAGTTACAACTGGCATTTTGGGAGCAATGCGGCGGTAATAAGGAAAGTTACTGGCTCCTCCTCTTGGGGAGCCCATCATTACCCTGGAAAAGGAGGAGTGGAGACCCAAACCGGACCTGGAAAAATCCATCCCAAACTGTTCTCCTCCTTGGTAGCCTGAGGTCTGCACACATGGCAGGCCCATCACTTCCTGCATCGGCCTAACAAAATGAGAGTCTGCAGGCTCACTAAATGGGTTCTCATGAGAGCCCGGAGCCGAGGAAGGCCCGCCTGCAGGCCCTGCCTCTGGACTCAACAAATAAGAGGCCTCACCCTCCAGCCTGCAGTCACTAGTGGTGTTTGGGAGATTATCATCATTGTTTTGGTTTGTGCTAAAGTTACCTCCTCTGTTCTTGTTAAGAAAATTTGAAATGCTAAAAGTAGACTTATGTTCTAGATTATTTGTGACTTCCAATATATGGATGTCACCTACCCTGTCCGTGCTAGACTGGGGATCGGAAAAACTCCGATCGCTGCTTTCCGGGCTGAGATCGATCTTCTCAGCACTGACCACAACTCCTTCCACTTCCACAGACTCACTGCCCTCGGCCTGGGAGGTCACATCGCTCACTTCGTCCTGAGGCTCCGGGGAGCTCAGGGGCTCTGACTTCACCACCACTCGCATGTGCTCCTCACCAAGGCCAACCTCAGGATTCTCACACTGGAAACCACTTTTCTCAGTCGCGGCCTCCTGCTCGAAACTCGTCTCCACCTGAGTTGCCCGAGATGCCATGGACAACTGCGCCATGTTGCCAGTGCTGTTGTCAGACTGGCTGGGCACTTGGGCATCTTCCTGAGCACCAAAAGACTGGTCAAACATGATGGTGGTGTCTTCCTGGCTGTCGGTCATGCCGTCGGCCTTAGGGTTATCCACAATTTTCAGAGAATCTGGTGAAAAGAACTCCTCCCGAGAATGAACCCCCGACGGTCCAGTCTCCGGGGTAACATCTGAAATGGCAGACTCATCCATGGTGGGTCGAAGGCGCTGTCTGGCTCGCTCCTCTGCAGACTGCTTGCGCTTGTGAAGGCGTCTCATGGGGAAGGGAGTCCGCTGGTCCAGGTTACTGCGCATCGAAGAGCTCATAGGGGCTGACTGCTCCTCACCACTCTGGCTGGAATTAAGGGCCGAGCTCACAATGCTTAGTCCCAGCTGCTGGAGCATAAAGGAGCGCTGCATGCGGGCACTTTGCTCCTGGACACGCTCACTGGGGGGAGACATGGGCAGCGTCCTTGTCGTGAGGTAATGTTTACATGCCTTAACAACGGAGTTCAGATGCAGGTGAGAGGCTGCCAATAAGACATCCATAACATTGCTCTCCCCCAGCATGAGGGTGGAGGTGTACATCATGTCAATCAGCGCGGCAAAGGCCTCCGCTGTCACGACCTCACTATCCAGCTGGATCATGTTCATGCTCTGATCTCCCTCTGCTACCGAGAACAGGGCTCGGAAATGCGTGCTGCATGCTGCCAGCACGGAGCGGTGGGCTTTAAAATGCCTGTTCCCCACAACAATGACACAGTCACACAGCTGTCCATGAAGTCTCTGGTAGTTCAGCTGCTGGAAGATCTGTTCGAAGTGTCCAGGAAAATCCATTATCCTATAGGAAAAAAAAAGAGATGTTATGGCTCAGAAATGCTACGACAAAGCACAAAGGGTCCAATAAAAGAGAGATGTGGACGGCCACAAGTTGACAGCTTTTGGATGATGGGCACTCTGAGAAGAACCCATCTAATAAGGAACACATGCCAACTCAGCTACCAACCCCGAAAGTATGCACATGTATGGGGCTAGCTACTGACTGTACCCCCACCTGACACTTGGGACCTACATTACACAAGACCAATGAAGGGGTAGCTGCCTTTCTGCCCTACAGAACTTGGCTAAGGCTCTGCATTCCCTGAGGACAATACAAACTCCAAGATACTCAAAACAGAATCTTTTGGCAAACTTAAAAAAATGAAAAGGGCAAATAAATATTTAATGGAGAGATTACAATCACTTAATTTTATTATTAAATTGACGGTAAAGTTCTCTGTAGTTGCTTTAAAACTTAAACCAACAAAAGAAAAAAGCTGAGTCACACCTTCAACCTTACAAAAGATAAAAGGAAAGGGAGGTGAGCAAACAGGAGGGGGAACCTCACTGCTGCCAGGAACGAAGAGCCAGGAGTGAGTGTGTCCTTTGGACCCAGGGTCCCTATATGCTGAGAACTACCTAGACTCAGGGGAAGAGTGGTGCCAAGACATATGAAGATCTCCAAGGATCTCCACAGATGCTGAAAGGAGACAAGGCCATTTCCGAGAGCCAGCACCCTAAATTCAGACTGCTAGCCTCCTAAAGGAGTCCTGGTGTGGCACTGAGGATAATGCGCTAGACTGCAAGGTCAGTTTGAGCCACAAGAGCTACAGTTCAAACCCACCAACCCCTCCTCGGAATGTACACTTGATTGCATTTAACCACAACAACAAGCCTCCTAAAACTATGAAAACGAAATGTGTTCTAGCCGTGTACTTGCGCTATTTCTGTGACAGCAGCACTAGCAAACTGTGAGTAGTTATCAGGGTTGGACTGAGACTGGACAGTGACTGCTAATAGGCACAAGGGGCTTGTGGGAGAGATGGAAATGTTCTAAAATTGGATTGTGGTAATGACTGCACAGCTTGTAAATTTACTAAAAATCTCTGAACAGATAATTTGATAATTTATTAACAAATCATTATACATTTATTGTTTCTTGTTAAGTGCTGTCGAATAGGTTCCAACTCATAGCAACCCTGTACAGAGTTCCCAAGGAGAGGCTGGTGGGTTTGAACCACTGACCTTGCCATTAGCCTTTTAGACAGAACCTGATTTCTATGCCCCAGTACAAACCCGGACAAATGAGCTAGGCGTGCTGCACATCGAACGTGCTTGGCACCAGAGATAACACAATCAACAAGACAGATCCAATCCCTGCCCTGAAAGGGAACAAGCTAATAATAAGCATTCTACCATAAAGAAATTAAATGCTACAATAGGGGAAGAACAAGATGCTATAGGTTCCAAAGAATAGGATAGGGAGTATGGAAGACCTCCTGGAGGAAGAAACCGTCAGAAGTACAATTAATTGACTTATATTTTAAATGCCAGTTGTCTTGAGTGCAAGAAGAAAGCACAATCCTTTCCCACAAAAGGTCACTCACTAATATATCAAACACTTCAGTGTCTAATTCCCATTTCTACAGAAAAGGCAAAAGTGACAAATTGTGATTCCAGAAGCACTATTTGCAGTGCTCAGGGGCCTCTGAGAAGAGGCTACTGACATGGCTAACCATGGTCTCAACCATGACAGAGGTTTAAATATTACTGAAAGACAACAGTCTGTACAGTCTTTTAACTTTTCATCATGCTAGGAATCTTCAGCCCTACACTACACACTACCCTCCCTCCATCATAGTCCCGGAAAGCAACCCAAACTCCCCAGGCTCTTCTCACAGTGCTTTAGGTATACCTGGAACTTCCTGAGGTGCCTTGTTGGCAGGCCATCTTTCAGGCAGTACGGAGGCCAAGAATTCCTTTTCTCTTAAGGGGCCCTGGAAGTCCAGGAACTAACAGAGTGGCATTAGAGATGATCAAAATCTGGAGAAACACCTGTCCTCTCAGTTAATGGTGTTGTTAAGTGCTATCAAGTCAATTCCAACTCATAGTAATCCTGTATAGATAGGGTTTCCTGGGAGCAGCTGGTGGGTTTGAACCGCCAACCTTGCGGCCCAGTGCTTTATCCCACAGTACCACACCAGGACTCTCAGTTAATAATTATATGCAATTATCTATTTGAAGATAGTCCAAGTGAATTTCTCCTTAATGACAATGGTCTTTCATCTCAATGTTTAATCAATTTATCATGATCAATTAGATTGGCAGTGAAAATCAAATCCACTAATATAGAAGCCATAAACAACAGGAAAACTAGCCAGTTAGATTATTCAGCTAGCTGTCCATCTTTCCAATAGCAAGAGTGTCAGCAAGCACCTCGTATAAATCAGTCCTTAATTGACTACAAGAGAACCACTCAAGATGATTTAAGATGAGATTTGTAGTTACAAGATATTAGAAAGCTCACAAAATCACCATGGTGAAAGGCTACTCTTGCATGCCCCGGAGTCAGCAGTAACCGCGAACCACGCTGTGACCTGGCCTGTTTGAGAGAAATCCTATTCCCGCTGACCCTTGCTTTGCAAGATACATTAGCTACTCATCTTCCAGAATAGCACTGTCCAATAGAACTTTCTGCAGTGAAAACGTTCTGTATCCATGCTGTCTACTAGTCGTATGTGGCTGCTGAGCACTTGAGATACGAGTATTAGCTGAATTGAAAATGGCAGTCTTGAGGAATGGAAAATGGGAAGTTGGGAGGCCAAGGTCTGGTGTATGTCTTAGCAAATCTTACGGAGCTATGGTGGTGGTTATGTGCCATGGAGTTGGTTCCCACTTACAGCGAGCCCGTACAGGGTTTCTGAAGCTGTAAATCTTTACGGGAGCAGAAAGCCTCATCTTTCTCCCACAGAACAGCTGGCAGTTTCAAACTGCTGACCCAGACCACAACTATATACACACACACTTACAAAACTTTTCTAAGAATTACTCCTCCAAAGGTAAAAGTAATAAATATCTAAAGGAATTATCTTTCAAATGTTATGAAAAAGAGAACTCCTGTTATCTGAACCATTCTTGGATAGAAAGCTTTCCATGACGTAAGTCACTGAACAGTTGTTATATACCATACAGCAGGCAATAAAATGAAACACAATAAATACTGACCAATCTTTTTGAATGGATCTATAAAAATGATTCATACAGTGAAAAGCAATCCATTATTGTGATTGTACTGACTGACTTTAAAGGGAAACTACTTAATAAGCAACGCATGCATAATTTAATGAAGGTAAAAATGGAGTCCTGGGTTAAGCCAAATCAGAAGTGCAGGGGACAACATAATAATGTTCTATGGTTTGTCCACCCCAACTTGCCTAGTCAGCATTCCACAGTGCATTACTTTGGAATGTCCAAAAGCGATCCAAAGACTATGAATATCAAGAAGGCTTAGAAAGGGTTTCCGAGAAGCAGACTGTGAGAGAATTTGAGAATGTGATTTATCAATGAGATGCTCCTCAGGGAAACTGGAAAGGAAGGAAGAATGAAGAGGTAGTCAAGCAAGGGTGTGATTTTGGGCAAAATCCCAGCCTTCCCTGATCTAGGAGAGGAGCCCTGTCCCTAAGTGTGAGCTGTCTTCAGACAAGGAAACTAATCTTTCACAGCTAAGATCCTCCCCAGAAGGATGTAAACCACCTGGCATTTCCTGTTTGCTGGGCTCACTTACAAAGTGATACCAGTCACCCAAAGACAGTCTTCAAAAAGAGTCACAGATGAAAACCAGCACTGTGGAGGTGATGTCTAACCTCCTCTAACTTCACAAGGGGGAGAGAAAATCACCATCAGGCCATAGCTGAATCCTACGAAGCAGAGGCTGTCCTGTCATCCTTAGCAGAGTCCACCCCCCACAGCATGCTTTACTTCCCTGCTGGGGTCAATAATTCGTTGGCAATGATCACACAGAACTCAAGACAATACGATTATGGGTTTATTAGGGAAGTAGTTGTTGTTAAGTGCCATCAAGTCGGTTCTGGCACACTGTGACCCTACATAGGATTTCCAAGGAGCAGCTGGTGGGTTTGAACCACTGGCCTTGTGGTTAACAGTGCAGTGCGTACCTATAGTGTCACACCAGGAGTCCTGGCAAGGAAATAACACGTTATTCAAGATCAGAAACGACAGGATACAGTTCTTCAATCAGGACAGCCTCTTCTCAGCTGTGCCCGGCAGGCCTCTCTAGCCCTCAAGCCTCTTGGGTGGGCCTGCCTACCCTCTAACCAGCTCGGGCAGAAGTTACAAAGCTCTTTTAACTCTACCAATAAGTGGCTGGAAGACCTCCAGTCCACCAGTAAGCCTCATCCCTAGCGCACTCAGCCCTCTCTCTGTGGACCAGGAAGTCCACTGCACAGGCTCCTGCCTGTCTCTTGATTCTGCTGCTTCTATGGTCATCGTTTCTCTGCTGCTGTTCCTCACCATCTCTACCCATGTCAATGTTATAGCTGTCTCCTGGGTCTAGGAGGTTCCCAGAGCAGAGACCCACCAAGGTGCACTTCACTCCCACCTCTGCCCTCTCTTCAGTTTCTAGGTTGGCTGATTTTAAGCTTCTCAGGATGGCAAATCTAATCCCCTCATTAGGGCTCCAGATACCTGATTTGCATGGTCCCTTCTCTCTTCCCCACCCTCCTCACCCCCAGGCAGGCTTCTGTGCACCTTATCTGCATTATTAGCAAACTGTCTAATCCCCTTGGTGGGCTATAAGTATCTTATTTGCAGACACTCCCCTCCCCCCAATCACTTGGTGAATATTACAAGACCATAACTGGAAAGGTCATGGGAAAGCGACCCATCACCAACCACATTAGAAGGTTCTGGATAGAGTGGGAGAAAATGTAGACCAAAAGTCAAAATTATAAAAGTACCAGTCAGAAAGAGACTGGAGGAACCCGAGACCGTGACCCTTGGGTC